AACCATCGCTTGGCGGACATCAATTGGAAACTTAAAATGTTGACAAATCAAAACAGTTGTGATAATAAAGATGCCATTCCTTTGGCACAAATTGATTTAATTATTAAAGGCGGTCAACAGTCAAATCAAGTCGTTTCCATTGACTTCGATCGACAAGAATTGTGGAATCTATACGAAAGTCTCGAAACTATTCAATCACAACTCGATTCACTTCATAAATAACTTACTGTATAACTGTTATGTATTGTATTTTATTGTATGGTTTTCAATATTAACGTAAAAATTCATTTATTTATGAAATAAAATAAATCTAATTTAATATTAAATTTGTTGATATTTAAAGTTTTGTTTAAAAACAACGAAGAAATTGGTTGAAAATATTTTAATAAATAAACGATATTTATATCAAAATCCAGTTTTGATTATAAATTGAGAAAATTATGCAAAATTTGAGTGAAAGTATAGGAATGAATGACAATAAAGTAAATCATGTAGTCTTCCTGTTATGTGTGTTGAATGAGAGCTCATTTCACTTTAAATGAAAAAATATTGAACTTGAAGTTGAATTTTAATCATTTCAATGGAAATACAAGTCTTAAGAAAGGGAGGAATCGTATGAATAATATGCCGTCGATTGGCATGAAATTAGAAATGGAAAGCATTCCTCACCCAAAAGGCAAGTTGACTGGCCTTACACTCAACACACGTCCCAAACAATCCCATCTCATCCCAGTTCAAAGGTGTGATGGAATGAGCAGTTGTTCCCACTTTCACTTCACAACACATTCATAAACATTACGGTATATAAACCGGAGAATCAAAACTTTATTTCATTTGAAAATATATTTCCAAACCAAACGATTCTCATATTCCGTGAGCCAACACATCGGCGCTAATCATTTAAATATGATTCAAACAAAGCTTTTATTCTTAATTGTTTGCATTTCCTATTATATAACACTATGTTTGGGATGTTCTCAACACGAAATGGAAGGCAAAGTCGATACTACAAATTCTTGTAAGTTTTGAAATATAATTTTTCAAATAAATTTAAGTATTACAAACTGTTATTTGAAATAATTACAAATTTTCATAGTTAAGAGCTCATTTTCTAACTGCAAAATTAATTAAATATTTTAACTTTTTAATTTTAATATTATATTTTATAAATAAATTGAATAAATATGAAGAGTTAAATATATTTTTAATAAAATTACTGAATTACTATATTAATTGAATTAAAATAATGTTTATAAAACTCACAATTAAAATATTATTGTTAATAATCTTTGTTTAAAACTTTTAAGTTAAAAGTAAAGTCAAAGACACTTCAATGCTTATGCTTTCAAATATAAATCACTGCTTGTTATAGAATATTTGCTCCTCCCTTGCGTTCAGTTATACTTGTATTTTAATGAATAACTGTTGAAATTTATTTCGCAAAACATAATATTCTGTATTTCCTTTAATTATAGTATCAAATGATATGAAAGTATTGTGTTATTACGGGAGTTGGTCTGTATATCGTCCCGGAGATGGCAAATATCCAGTCGAGGAAATTGATCCCTTCCTCTGCAGGTTATTTCAAATTAAAAAATATTTTAATAAAAATGTATTAAAATACCAAATGTTACAGTCATTTGATATATGCATTCGCGGGGTTGGGTCAGGACAACCGAATCCGACCGCTCGATCCCTACAATGACCTGAAGGAGAACTACGGAAAGGGAGCTTTTCTTAGATTCAATTCATTGAAAAATGTCAATAAAAATCTCAAGACTTTGATCGCAATCGGCGGCTGGAATGAGGGTTCCGTCAAATATTCAAATATGGCCGCCAAACCCGAGTCGAGGAAAATTTTTGTGGACAGTGTCGTAGAGTTTATCGAAAAATACGGCTTCGATGGACTGGATCTCGATTGGGGTTAATATGATTTAATTCACTCACTTATGTTGTGTTTTCATTTGACGCTAACGTTTATATTCACACCAAAGAGTATCCGGGATCGAGAGGAGGTCAACCCCAGGATAAGCAGAACTTAGTATTACTTCTTAAAGAACTAAAGGAGGCGTTCACTCCTCGCCGATATTTGTTGACTTCTGCCGTCTCTGCGGGAAAATGGTTTATAGAGCCCGCGTATGACATCCCAGCCGTTGCACAGTTAGTCCATTAATCGACAGACAATTTCTAAAGGAGGCGTTCACTCCTCGCCGATATTTGTTGACTTCTGCCGTCTCTGCGGGAAAATGGTTTATAGAGCCCGCGTATGACATCCCAGCCGTTGCACAGTTAGTCCATTAATCGACAGACAATTTCTATTTAAACGACTATTAATGACATGTTTAATATAGATATTTAGATTTGATTAACATTATGTGTTACGACTATCACGGGGGTTGGGAGAACAGGACAGGTAGGTCTACATCATTATAGATGCCAAAGGTTTCAATTAATACTGTATATAAACGATTGACAGGACATAACGCTCCACTCTATGCCCGTCCCGACGAAATTCTCAACGATAAGATATCAAATGTGGTTTGTATTAAACTCATTATCATTTAATTTCAAACATTTTAAATTTTAGTGATTTATTCAATTCTTTAAAATTTAAAAGTTTGATAACATTTAGAAATTGATATTTACAACAAATTTTAATGAATTTCCAGAATTTCTCGATAAATTATTGGATCTCTGCGGGCGCCCCAAGAAATAAGATAGTACTGGGAATGGGAACGTACGGGCGATCATTCACTTTACAGCGATCTGAAGACAATGGGTTGGGAGCGCCGGCACCACAGAAAGGACAGGCGGGACCCTATACTAGAGAAGCCGGTTCTCTCGGTTACAATGAAGTCTGAAGTTTTATAAACTGGTCGTCTATTAAACACTAATTTATTTGGAAATGCATTCTTTGAAAACATAGATTTGCGAAATGAAACTTAACAAAAATGGATGGACAGAAGTTAGGGATCGGTATCATATGGCACCCTATGGTTTCAGAGATAGGCAATGGGTTGGCTATGACGACGTCGAGAGTATTACACTTAAAGCCCAATATATTAAAGCCATGCAATTGNAACAAAAATGGATGGACAGAAGTTAGGGATCGGTATCATATGGCACCCTATGGTTTCAGAGATAGGCAATGGGTTGGCTATGACGACGTCGAGAGTATTACACTTAAAGCCCAATATATTAAAGCCATGCAATTGGCCGGCGGTATGATTTGGTCCATAGAAACCGACGATTTTAAAGGTATTTTACGCCCTTTTTTGCTAACAATTTTTGCATAAAATATTTTATTAATTTATTTCTTTTTTTCATAGGAAAGTGCGGCGAAAAGTATCCGCTTTTAAATGCCATAAATAAGGTGTTCAAAAGCGATTCCGTGGTTATGCCACTCCCGCCGCCTCCAGAAACTGACGTTAAGCCTGTCATTCATTCAACAACAACGACGACCACAACGTCTACGAAACCGTGGGTTTGGGCTCAATCATCGACAACTGCATCGCCTCCGAGCTCTTGGTCCACACCCTCGACAGGCATGACGTGGTGGCCGCGACCCTCTTC